TTTGTTCTAAATAGAGGGAACGATGAAGGGAGTTTGGAGAAGTCTAGCATTTTCCCTGCTCTTTTACCTGTTCTCTCCCCGTATTAGGATATGGATAAACTGGATGCCAGCAGTGATGAAGATGAGGAGGATAAATCCTCCAAAGAGGAGGAAGAAGAAAAAGCCCTTAATGTGAAACACAAAGGCAAAACACCCTTGAAAGGACCCTTACGGAGAAAACGAGCCTACGTAGAGATAGAGTACGAGCAGGAGACAGAGCCCACGGCCAAGGCCAAGACCACGTGATTTCCCTTCAAACGTTTGTACACAGGACTGAACATTTGGAACATTTTTTATCTTGAACACATACACACCTCCAGTTTTTGCTCTTTTGTGTTGTATTTAACACAATATTTGTGTTTTTAATATTTATGTCACTTCAGTGGGGCAAGAAATCTGGAGTGAGTGGAAGAAAGCCTTAAGTTGTGAATGGAGTGTTTTTATAACATATGTGTTGAACTAACAGCTTGAGCCCAAAAAGCTTAACAGATGAGTTCCTGAATCTGGGATGAGACTGTGGGTGTAAATATTTCTAAATTTTAAATGTTACATTCCTTAGTGTCCTTTTTTCTCCCAAACTTTATTTAGAAATGGTAAGACTTCAATTTTTTCTTGTTCTCTTTTCCCTACTCTTATGGGGGTAAAAGGAAAAAAAGAAGGAAAAAGCAGTTCTAACTTAAACAATGTTTAGTGTATAAATACCTTTTTCCATAAATAACTCCAGATGGAAAGAAAAATCCTTTTCTCTTGGGAAAGTAATACAAATCTCAAGTTCCATCGAAGGGAGTGCCTTCAGAAACCTGTTGCACTTTTCTGATACAGTTCACCACCTTGCTGTCCTCACAGCTATGGAGCGTGTTGGCCAGGAGACCCTGAAACATGAAACCAGACAGGCTTTGGGGTTTTTTCAAATTATTTGTTTTCCCCTTTTGCCTTGATTCTTCTTTCTTGGTATGAGGAAACAGCTTAATTGCAGCCAAGACAAATTAGGTTTGATCTAGGGTTTGATTAAAGACTAAACAACTAAGATAACATGGTTTGAATAAAATAATAACAAACCATACTATCTCTAAATATTTTTAGGATATGAATTTCTTTTCATGCTGCCTTCAGTCTTTCAATTGAGGATTTCTAAATGGGGTAAAAAAATGAGGCAATAGTTTATTAAA